TATTTTATTAAGTCCCTCCCTCATCTTTCTCGATGGTCTCTCAGAATTTTGAGCTCTGGCACTTCTAATTTTAAAAACTAAGTTCTGCACGTATTGTAAAGCTGACAGTTCTGAGTATATTCAAGTTTGACGTATCCTTATGGATAATTCAAGCTCGAAGATATAAGCTACATGAAATGTTAGTTTTACGATGACCTATTTTGCAGCAACCGGATAATTCAGTAAACAAACTGATATGAATAAATTTCATTCATAAAAGGAAAGAAGTCATCAATATTTCATTCCTTCGAAATTTATGAATCTTTTGTATAAAACTACAATCAGTCTAAGGTTGTTAAATTTTTCATTGAAGCCAGTGTGCTTCGTCGTTATATTTCTTACCCCACCCCAATGATGTGCTCTAGCCATTTATAGGCGTTGGCCACTACTAAGGCCGTAAGCGGTGGTCACTTTATTATGGAGGCATCTAACAGGCAGACCGCCGTTGCCTTGTATAAAGGGACGCACAAATTATTCATGCTTTCTCCGGAAATCGAACACGGGCCCTTCAGGGCAGCAGTCAGAGTCATTAACCATTTTCCCGCATGGGGGGCTTCTTATTAACCAATTATTTATTTTGCGCGTATTTTGCAGCGAACGGGTAATTAATTAAACAAGCTGATGTCGCTCGACGGCGGGAGAGACGATGATAAAAAAAGAGGACGGTAAAGAGGGCCTTACCCTCGGAATAACAGAAACGAATAACTTTTGTTCAAGAAGGGAAAGTAAAGGGATCAAAATGTCATTCATTCAAAATTTATAAATTTTCTGTATACAACTACAGTCAATCAAACGTTGAATTTCGTTAATTTTTTTTTAATTGAGGCCTGTGAACTTCTTTCCTACATTAGTTAACATTCAGGTTTCAAATAGTTTATATACACAGAGAAGAGAGAAAGAACTTTTTTAATTCTGATGTGCATTAAATAATACGCAAGATCATAGCAAATATTTTTGTTTAATGTAACAGAAAGTTTACAAAGAATGAGATGTAAGACCGATTCACAGAAGTAACAAAACAACTTGTAAACAAACTTAGCTTCACGTAACTACTTTCACACTTTCAGAAATAAAGGCTACATTTTGAAAGAAAATAGTTATTTTTTGGCAGTAATATAATAGTAGATTTCACTTTCATTTTAAAAATTGCGTGTCATGCAAGCAAAAGTTTTTAATCACATAAATACCTGTACATGAAAAATTCCTATTTCCCAAATTTCTAAATGTGCATTATGAAATACTGACTGCCGCAAGAAGAGGAAAATGCATACAAAGAACTGTAGAAAATAGCAATTTAATTCTAGATTTCTTTTTTCCTTTTTATGCACAATCAATTAAACTTTCCAGGTTGCATTAGACAAAATGCTTTTTATAAAATATTAAAAGTTAGCTTATACAGAGAGACATCTTGAAATGCTCATAAATTATGTGACCAATATACAAAAAAGGCAACAGCAAATTTATTTACATATTTACATAAGAAGTTTGTCAAAAGAAAAGAGAACTGCTGAGCAACAAGATTTCTTTGACTCAATTTTTGTCCTGTTAGAACACAATGCAGCTATATGTGTAGCTAACTGTATGCTTTACATTTAAAAAATAATTCTGCTATTGACAAAAGTTTCAGGCAAAAAAGAAGAAAAAAAAATATGTATTTATCTTATCTTGAATCAAATAGACATACAAATTTTTGATAATATGTAGTAATTTCTTGAAGTAATACTCTTCAATAAATTTAAGAGAAAGACATATTAGTAATGCAGTATTTTTTAAAATTTTTTTCTTAATTATTTACACTTTCAATGCTTACATATGGCTGGAGAGAATTTAAAATCTTACTTTGGAAAATGATTATGACATAAGACCACTTTCCTTTGTGTTAGTAGAAAAGTGTGAATTATTGTAAATAAGTTACATGCCAATATTTTTAATCATTTATGTATAAGTAGGAATGGAAAATGTTTTCTATTTTGATTTATTTCAACACTAAAATTAATTCTACTTAAGTATATCAGTTTCAAATAAAGATTCGGTTTTGTATTTATTTCTGTTTGAGAAAGATTAATTGAATGTTTATATATATTTATATAAATAACCTCTCTCCTCTAAATAACTCAAATTAATACAGATCAAAGAGAATTATTTTAAAAGTTACAGAAATTCTAATGAGCCACTTTACAGTGTAATGATAAAAATCATATTCATACAGTAAATAATATTGTATTTTAATTAATTGCTATCATATAAAATTTATTTGGTACTTGCTGTTGATTATTAAATAACTCAAATTTTTTTTCAATACTTTACAACATATTTTGTAATTTTGTTCACTTATAATTTTTTTCAATCTAAAATAATTCACATTGTATTCAATCAATCAATTAAAAGTATTAATTGCTAAAGTTTGATCACCATAAAACATTCTAAATAACTGATTTTTATGTTTCTGCTTACCCGTTAAAAGTTTGAATTTTAAATTCCAGAATTCAAGTGACAACTGAATTGACAGACTTAAAATTTCAATGATACAAATTTTTTTCATTTTGAAGATTATTTTGCAGTTTTTAAATTGTGCCTGCATATGGAAGCGAAGGAATAATATATACATCTTAATATAAAAAATAATTTTAAATTTATTACTTTTTCATGTTTTTAAAATTTATTTACTTCTCTGCTCTTTCGTAAATTCTTAAAATACAAAATGTACAATTATTATTCTTCGGGTCATCCAAAATATATAGAATGATGCAGTTCTTACGTTTTACAATTAAAAAAAGAAATTGAACAAACTGCAATTACCATTACAAACAAAATTTCATTAAATTTAATTTTTTCTTAATTTTTGTTAAGATAAAAAAAATTTCAGTTAACAATAAGAACCATCCCATATAAGGAGCAAATTTTAAGCATTATTGAATACATTTAAATCTTAATGAATACTTTATTAAATAACAAAGCTGAATAAAAGAAATTAAATTTTTATCTATACGTGCTAAATAAATGTAATAAATGAAAAATTTGAACTTTTACAGAATTATTAGTATAAACCCATAGCTGAAAATGTTACCAAACTTATTTTACAGAAGTGTTTGTATATTAATTTGTATGTGAAACACTTTTAAAACTAGCAAAACCATTTACTTGCATTTGTAAATAATATATTTTAAATACTGCAGTGATTAAAAAAAAAAAAAAAAAAAAAAAAAAAAAAAAAAAAGGTTTTTCACTTTTTCACTTTGTGCTTGAAATAAGATATATTGCAGGATGTGACTGCAGTTATTGTAATTCAACATGTAAAAAACTGATATCACATTTTAAAAAACATGTTCATTTTTCTAATATAAATTTTCTTTACACAAATGTAGTTCATATTCCATTTTTCAGTTCAGGTTTGTAGAAAATGACTTGCTTGGAAAAGTTCCCCTGACTGTTAGAATATCAAAGTTATTAACTTACGACAAAATGTAGGTTTGTAGAAAATGACTTGCTTGGAAAAGTTCCCCTGACTGTTAGAATATCAAAGTTATTAACTTACGACAAAATGTCTCCATGCATTTTCATGTGACATGATTTTAACATCAGAAGTCTTTGCAAATAAATACAATGTATTATAAAGCGAAGTATATATAGAAAAATAGTTCAAATGCTATATCACACAATATCAAACAATGACTTCTCCAAGTGCACTTAATATGAATACTTAAATCAAGTACTAAATGCTTTCTATGTACAGGTATATCTTACTTTATGTACAATTTTTCAATTTATCTGTACAAGAATATACTTTTGGCATTAAAAACATAGTGCAAGAGCTTTTGTAAATTCATAACTTATATATACTCACAGTCTTTGGCAAATAAGAGTTGAAACTCATATCAATTACAATTCTGTTTAAATATTTAATTTTGAATTGTGTTATGTTCTTATCTATAAAAAATTTTACATAGTGAAAGTACTAACATTTGAAAGGACATAACATTACATACTAAATGGCATTTTAATTTGAATAGACACTTATTCTTAGTAGATAATGTTGTGAGTGAATAAATCTTTTAATGAGTTATAAAGCAATTTAAAGATTCAATTAAATGATCAATTCAGTATTTTTACAGATAATTAAGCACTTTATCAATATTTTTTGCCTTCTATTTTTCCAAAATGCTTCTCCTCAGAACAAGTTAATTTTTACCAAATTTAATTTATTTCCAAGTACTTTGCAAAGTTCTCGCTTATTTTCGTATGAATTTTTATGAAATTTATATTTCTTTAAACTTATTAATTAGTAAGATAAATGGTTATAGGTTAGAAAACTTAAATCACTCATTCATCATTATGTACCATGCAATATGCATTTAAGTGCATTTTTGAACAGTAGGAATTAACAATACTTAGTGCTAATATCAACATTTTGTACAACATTAATATAAATTTAATACTTTAAGCCCACATACATATTGGAATAAATTATTTTAGGATGTTAGGTAAAATTGAGATGGAGCTGAATTGAAGCCCTATGCATGTGCTTTGCCTTAATTATATAATTTAATGCAATTATATCAGAATTACATCACGAAAAACACTTTAACTTTTGAGGTAAAATTGTTGGAAAATGTACACTTTTTGTAACGAGTGGCGTGGAAACTCTAAGCACTTCTAATTTAATTAAAGTCTACTTAAAATTGTCATGTAACATAGTCACCAAAACTTTACAAATCAAATATTTCTTACAATCTCACATTTCAAATCACTGTGCTCTACATCAGTGCTCTGCAACTGGTGTGACGCGGCACACTGGTGTGCCATGAGTAGGATATAAGTGTGCCGCAATCAAATACATGTATTTGACATTTTGCAATTTTTTATCATGTATTTATACATAATGACAATTTTTTTCCTTAATAATGTCTATTTTAAATGTTTTTATATATTTCACTGTCGTGTGGTTGTGTGTGTGATTGTAAGTGTGTCAGCATTTGAATTTTTTCGGCACTTCCTTGATAACTCGGAACTCTTTGGTGTGCCACGAAATTCCAGAAAGATTTTTTGTGCGTCGCAGGTGAGAAAAGGTTGCGGAGCACTGCTCTACATTAATGCTACTGATTACTAATTAAAACTACTGACTACTAATTAAGCCAAACGAGATAAGGCAAAATTTCGTTGTTGTATCATAGTCATAATCATTTCATGATATCGACATTCAGTATGTTAAGCTTTAAAGGAGAATTATTAGATGCCTAATATGCCATAATACATTGATAAGAATTATACTTTAAACAGTTTTTGGGAACAATAGTTTGTACTATCTGTCAGTTATTTACAATTAGCATCGATTACACAAGAATTTCATAGTTAGTCACCCATGGTTTCCAAAGAAGTTTCATTTGAAATTCATTTTCATTTGCCCTGTGGTTAAGACTGATTTGAAGATATTAAATGTTGTAAATGTTAAGAAATTTACAGCAATATATACTTTAAATTTTTTAGCCAAAATACCTAATCAGGTTGAGTGTGTATCTGTTTGTCTTGCTCTTGCTCTATGCAGTATAATTGTACATTCAAGACAGATATACCTGTAAAAGAACTCCTCTGTGCAAATGACTGACTGTGGGAAGAGGGATGATAATGATAGGAATCTGTAAAGTAGTTCCAAAAAATAAATAGTTATGCTATGCATTGTGCATTGATGCTAAATGACGACACCGGATGCTTTTCCTTTTGTGTGATTGGAGAGTTTTCTTAATGTGTTGTTCTTTTCACAATCTTTTTCACTAGAAATAGTTGAATTCACACAAGCCTCGGGAAGTTTAGATTTGTATATTCTATTCGATAAGTCCACTTTATCGGGATCAAAATCGATCATCTCTGATGATCCACTGGGTATATATGAGCACTGCTGGTCTCTGGAAGATGTGGACTGAAGAGTGTTGTGATATCGGCATAAATTGTTATCACTCTGATTATTAGCTTTTTCTTCTTTCTCAAGTTGATCGAGCTTTGTGCTATATGATCGAGGAAGAGAATTGCAATGAGTACTTCTACTCTTCTTCTTGCGGTAGTAATGCCAGTAATACCATGTCACTCCAATAGCAACAGATATGAATATCATAATGCATAAAAGCAGTACTATAAGAGGAGCATAGCTTCTTCGCTCTGAAAAAAGAAAAATATTTTAAATTTTAAAAATTGCTTAGAACCTAATAACTAGATATTTCTTTTATGTAACATGTATGCTTAAAATCATAATTTTCTCGAATACTGAACACTGGCTAGCTGGCAAAGCTAGCTACTATGGTGCTAGCCATTGCACAAAAAGGATAGCCACAGCACACTTTACAGCGGCTACCTTTTTTTTCCCAGTTATTTTATGTTATTACTTCATAAAATCTGGCAATAATAAAAATTAGAATAAACTTTTGATTTTTGGCATGCAGTTTCAAAGACTAATTTGAAAAAGAATTAGAATATCACTAAAACAAAAATTTTGTAAATAAAACTTAGGGTGCTTTAGCTATAAATTACATAGCATCTGAAGATTTTCCAAAATTCTATAATGAAGTTATATTAGTGATCTTTATTAATAAATATACCATTTATAAGAAGAGAACTTATAAAATTTAATAAGTTTTACTTTCAGAAAAGTGGTAAAATTATTAGACTTGACTGACTTTTGCATTAATTATTTAATTATTTAGTCAACAGGAAAGAGAGACCTAACACATACTTTATTTTAAATACTTTTAAAGAACTTTTTTAAGTGCGATTACTTCTTAATTCTTTCAAAAGGCAATAAAATATTATTTACCTCTAAAATCAGCATTAATCATTGAGGTTTCAACTTTCACTTCTATTACTCCAGATAAAATAGAGTTGTTGTGATGTTTTCTACTGATCAGATCTGCAATCTTCTTTGTGATATTGCTGACTGTATGGAATGTGTCAATTGTCGATTTGCCAGAAGATGACTAAAGAGAAATTTAAAATCATTAAATATCAGATTTGGGAACACAGCACTGACAATGAAGATGCATGAATAAAATACATGAATTACATCTACAATAAGTGTTTCACATGAAATTGATATGACTTGTAAAAATAAATTGTAAAAATAATACTTAAATTTAATTTGAAGTAATTCTATCTAGAAATGTCACTATTATGAACATAAACCAACAAATAAATTGAATACCCGATAATCTAATTTAAAACCTTTCACTATAAATTATTTATCTAAAAACAAATTCTATGCTCAATTATCTAATTTAAATCATTTCACTTATAAATTATGTATCCAAATAATTCGCCAATTTCCAGCTAATTCACTTATTCAGCAAATTATCAAGCTATAGCTGGTTTCTGAGCTTAATGAATAAATTAAATGCAAAGAGGAAATTAATTAAAGTGTATTAGTATTTATTTATTACATAACATATTAAAAACAAAGATAAAAATTTATCAGGATATTTACTTATGGATGCATATAAATATCTTTTTAAGTTTATTATGTCATTATGAGATTTACTTCTATTTTTTTCAGTTATGTATTATTTTAAAACTTAATTCTGGCAATAAACACAAAAAAATTCACACGAATTGTACACAATAAGATACTGCAACATTTTTTATATTTTAAAGTAGCATGTAGGTAGTAAAGAGAAAAAAGTGATACTTGTCGGTTTTACTGGCAACCACAGTGCTAAAGAAAAAATATCGCCATGTTTAAGTTCATATCCAAATACTCACATACACATAAACGAACCAAAAACACACACAAAAAAACTTACTTTATTTCCAAAAATATCAATTCATACTTTAAAAATGTTATAATTTATTCCTCGGGTGACCAAAAAGCCTTTCTAACCAACAATGTATAAATTTTAACACTATCATTTTTTGAAGCAGTGAACCTGTTACAGATGCAAAGGCCTTTTTTTTTTTTTTTTTTTTTTTTTTTTGCTCACAACTTTTCACATTGCATCTCTATATGGCTTCTGTGGTGGTATATAACTTCATTTCAATCCTGTTTTTGCAAATTTGGGAGGAGTATAGAATACCCTTTTCTTAGAATGCAATAGTTTCATTCTGAATTGATGGTAAATTAAAAATTCTCATCATTTTCAATCTAATAAAACAAGGATTTCTTAAAAACGAAAAAAGCAATTTCACAGTTCTTATTACTTAATTTTGGTTATACTTTTCAGTTTACTATATCATGTAGTGATAAATGCTGCCAAACTTTCTCATTAATCACTGATCACCAGTAAAACTGACAAGTATTAAAAAAAAAAAAAAAAAAAAAAAAAAAAAAAAGAAGACTCATATAAAAATAGACAAACTCAATTTTACAAAACGTAGCTATAAGTTAATCTAAAACTGAGTATACAGAATATAAGAAAACAATTTGTAACTAAAAATGTTACTTTATAACTGCTATTTCAAAATAAAAAGTGATTTCTTTGACAGCCTTTATCAAATACAATAACTAAATCAATTCTAATATAACACAACAAAACTTTAGTAAAAGAAGGGTAAATACAAAACATCTTACTATAGTAACTTCTATACTGTCTTCTTCATTCGTCTTTATGCTGCATAAAATAATTATGGTTTCTTTGCTCCTGCTTTTATGCAAAAGGTAGGATATGGGAAGCTTTCGGACTTGACTGCAAATCTCTTCGACAAGAATGCCCTATTAAGAGTACATATAAATTAAATATTATATTAAAGCACTTGGCAAAAATTTAATTCTTCACTCGTGTACATAATGAAATCAAAATTGAATTGTGCTAGTATAGCTATTTTTAGTTTGCACAGATAATTTGAGGAGAGAAACTGACAGAAGTTCTAAAGCTTATTATTTATATTTTAAAGTTTCTTTAATCTTGTTCCCTTTGTATAAATTAATATGTTTCGATAAATATGAACAATATAATATTTATATATAATTTTTTATTCAATTTAATTTAATCTGATTGTTGACATTTAAAAATAACAGAAGTAAAGATTGAAAAAGTTCATTAATTTCAGTTGCTTATTTAAAAAAATTCTAGTTAATTTAGACCTTTTTGTTATGCCATTATTCATTTTACATAGCTTTATTTACGTAGTAGTTTTACATAGTTTGATTTACACAAAATTCAACAGATATAACCAAAGAGTTATATATATTTTTTATTAAAGCACATATTTTATTAAGGGACACACAAATGTAAAAGAATATATTTTTTGATAAAAGGTATCAGTATGAATAGCTGAAATTAAGTTTTCTGTTTTGATTTGATTATTTATTAAAGCATATGATGTCCATCTGCCTAAAATGTAATACTTTTATACAGGTCTTTTTAAAACAAATTAGTTCATATGTATGATAAATTTTCAGAATCTATTATTAGTATTCTTTGTGATAGCATATTAAAGCAAATACACAACAACAATATATATTATAGTATTAAAAATTACAGAATATATATATATTTAAATCTTAGCAGGAAAATAGTTATTCAGTTCTAAGAATAATGTTGTTGTAAAGGCTTAGTCAGAGATAACACACTGCAAGAAAAATTATTATCAGTCACTGAAAGAAGTTTTTAAATAATGTGTTGAATAATGTGTCGATAAGATCCCTATGAAATTACAAATAAATACTTTAGACCTGCTGTCTGACGCAACTGAAATATCAGTAGGATTGCTATACCAATATTTACAAGAATTTCATTTTACAACATATAGTAGTATACAATTGCAAAACATAAACATAAATGCAGTAAAGATTAAACTACTGTATTAAGATAGATTCAAAAGATGGTATTAAAAACTTCTTAGTTTTATTTCTACATAAAATGGAGAACACATGATTGTAGTTGTTGCTAATAAGTTGATAATGAATTATGTAAGTTTGAAAATGCCAAGCACAATTACAGATACCGTGCACATTATATGAATTTACTTATACTAGGAGTATGATACAAAATTACTTACATTGGACATTTCATTTCTGTTGAAGAAAAGAGTAATTTTAGCACAATTATTACTAAGGACACTTTTGTTTGGTTGACAGTTTTCAGCAGGTACAATTTCTTGAGATAAAGCCTCAGAACTGTTATGATTCATTTCACATCGTCCATGTGAATGACAAGGAGGTGTGAAGCAAATATCAGATGGGAATGCAACACATGCTTGGCCATTAGGACACATTTGTTTTGTGGAATTTGGATCCAAATCGCAAATACGAGGGCTGCACCATATCTGTTAGGAGAATTATAGATATATATTGATCAATTAATATTAATCATCAGGGTTAAAATTTAAAAAACAAGTATGTTCATTTCTGATTTCTAACAATATTTTTATATAATCAGTATTAATGTGACTTCACATTCTGTGAAAATTACTTGAAAAAATTTTGCCTGAACTAATGCTAATGAATTACAGACAAATAAATCAAGCAATGCACAGAATATTCCTGAACTTATGTTTCAGAGTAAAATTCAAGGAACTGAAAATTTTTATGATTTCCATTAAAGTTGCTCTCATGATAATTTTCAAACTGACTGATAAATATTATTTCAGGAAAATAATATGTCAAAAAAGTGTTGTTGAATTAACAAGGCATTAGTGTAAATCAAATATTAAAAAGTTTTATTTACAAAAATCCAAAATAATATAACAAAATATCATATTAAAAATGACAACAGCAGTTTTGCACTTTGAATATATCAATTTTTCAATATAAAGCTATGAGTATACTTTAGTAAATGCATAACTTTAATAAAGATCAATTTTTTTAATATGTAAAGCTAAATTATTTTTTTCTACTTCACAGAAACTAATACAAAATTTCCACGTAATTTATTTATTTAGAAGTTTGGAATGTTTGATTGGTTCCAGGCCTTTTAAAATATCTTTCATTTTAACTAAACGTAATTGCAAAAAATTTCTTTTTTGAAAATGTGTTACATCAAAATTATTTAATAATTATCATTCAAAATGGTTTATTAATTTTTTTCTTGGCAGTTTTCAAAGCAATATGCATTTGAGAAATGCTATGAAAAATATTGCATTCTATGTTTATGTTCAGAAGAGATTTTGTTCACAGACTAAGAATGTAAATTAAACGCATTTGAAATTAAGTTGTGGTACTTCTAAGCTAGATAGATAGATGTACAGGTGAATTTTAGTATTGGCATCATAAAATCATTAAAGACTGTTAACAAAATCACTTTCTACTTGAAGACTCATGGAATTTTGTATGCCAATAAAAGTCCAACCACAACTAATAATGCATATTATTTTCAACTAAAAATTTCAACTTTTAATTTTACTGATTCTAAAAAATAACAGCAATACATTCAATATATTCATAATTTAAAAAGTGTCATTAATGTCTTTTTATGAAAAACAAGAAGTGGTGATATTTTCACACAACATTCTCATATAATTTAAACTGGATTTCTGAGGTTTTAAATTATATAGGACATTTGAGAAAAAAAAAAGAATGCAATTATTTAAAACTATTTATCTAAATGTAATGATAAAATAATAACATTCTTGCAGATTTTTAATAAACAGACCACTTTTAAAAAATTTCTTATCTATATACAGTGTGACAATTACTGAGCTATATGAAAAAAACACTGGATAACTTTTGAACCATTGAAGAGATTTAGTTAAAACTCGGCGGGTGAATGTAGGGCATGTTGGGAATTTGTTTGAGCATGCGCACTCGTATTGTCTGTGTTTTACTTTCATTGAAAATGTCGAAATACAGCATTTCTGACCTTATATTCATCGTCAAGGCCTGCTATCCGCCCAATTGCGGCTCAAAGGAAATTTGCAACCGAGTACAAGTTAAAGACAACCGGTCTAAGTGTTATAACAATCAGAAATAAGATTTATAAGTTTGAGAGAACTGGTGATAACATTATTGATAATGGCGGCCATCGAGTAAAAGTACCTGAAAATATTGACAAAACACAAAATGTGTTTCAAAATAACCCAAGGACTTCAATTAGACGATCTTCACAAGTCGGAAACAAACGAGAGACTTTGCGCAAATTGTTATTCAAGACCTGCATCTCTTTCCATACAACCTTCCTATTCATCAGCCACTGAGCGCTATTGCTACTGAACATCTTTGTTTCGTCAACACTGTTGTCGATATAACTGACAAACATGAATCTGGTGTGAATATGGTTTGGTTTAGCGACGAACCCACTTTCATTTGGATGGGTACATCAAGAAGCAGAATTGCCACGTTTGGGGGGCTAAAGAACCTCATTTCATTGATCGAGAAGTCTCTCCACCCCAAATAGATTGGTGTGCAATGTCAAGCTGCGGAATAATCGGTGTGATATTTATTGCAGGCACGGTGACTGCTGAAAGTTATAGCAAAATTTTAGAAAATGATTTCATCCCTTTTATCTAAGATGACTCAGATTTCAAAAAGATATGGAGAACGTCCCCATCGGACCGCTAGATTATTTGAATCCTGGAATAGCACTTTGGAAAGCACATTCTGGTTTGGGGTATCCAAAGGCCAATGGAATGGAAATCGCTTGGCTGCCATATTCTCCTGATCTCAATTCTTGTAACTCATTTATGTGGGGGGTAATATTAACGACAAGTTTACGCAAATAACCATGAAACCATGGCTGAGCTCAAAGCAACCATTCAAGAGGTCATCAAAAGCATTAATGTCTCGAAACATCAGCGAGTTTTGCAGAATTTTGCTCTGCACCACGTCAAAGCCGTTGATGGCAAGCATATTGACCATGTCATAAACTAAATCAGAATATCTTTAGTTACTTTTCAGATTTGAGGAAGATTTTTGAATTCATTAGTTTTTGAAAATTGCTATTTTATTTCATTTAGCTGAATAATTGTGACCTTGTAGTACATTTTAAAATTTAAATATCGTAAAATATGTATATGTATATTGCTATTAGAAATAGATATATTGCAGTGTTCTAATCATACTATATATTCGATGTGAATACGGATATTTATATTTCTATTATCTTAACTTACTCTTGTGCACTGAGTTTTTCCTTTTACACAAATGCAAGTGTTGCATTCATCGTTCCAAATGCTATTTTCTGCATGTATCTGTCCTTTCCATAAGCAATAATCACTTGCATCAGGAGGTAACAAAGCTGTAAAAATAAACCAATGTTTAACAGTTCAATTCCCTTCAGAAATCTTAACTGCAAGCTGGTTAAAAATAAAGGATTTTACATTCTAATGAAAATGGATATTCTGTTTATTCGTACATTTTTTTCATTTTTTAAGGATAAAATTACAAGAACATACAAGATGCTCTTGTTAAAAGGCGAATTATGGTTTAATATCATTTTGATGCATGTGAAGTCAATGATATTAACACACACATAGAAAAGTAATAATACTATACAGAATATTAATTGCAAGTAAAATATCTCAGAGTATATTTTAATAATTATTAGTATATAAATTTACAATAATTTTCATTAGTATTTTATAAACATCCAATACCCGGCATTTTTATTCACTTTTATGATGTTGAATTAATTCTCATAATGTATAAGTTATACATATAATATAGTAAATTACCATGCAAATTAAGATAGCAAGTATTATATAAATAAAATACTTAAGAACAGTTTTAAACAACATGCTTTCAGAGAATTTATAGCCAAAACGTTCATCAGTTTAGCAACCTTGCATAAATAGATGGCAAGGTTGGTTGGTCTTATAGCCACTTGACCCTGGACCAACAACCAGTTGGGTCAACAGCCAACAGCCATAATTGTTCAATACCCAGTGATAGTAATAAAAATGGTAATTAGTCCTCATGATTGTTTGTTGATTGCTAACTGTAATTTTTGCATCATTTACTGACTAAAGAAAATTCATGAAATGTAAGTTTGTGCTGAAAGAGGGAAACAAACTTCATCTGTATGGTTACTTATTTTTAAAAGGTTAAATCAAGATAGGATTTGGTCTAGTGGAGATTTGATAAATTTAAATTACGTTCTTTCAAATTATTATCAAAACAATTTACAACTGTTAACAACAAGGCACTTACTCTAAGGAACTAATGAGGAGTACATCATGGTTTAGATTCTTTCAGAATGAATTCAGAATTTTCAGAATGTTTAGATTCATGAATAATAATGAAGGTTTAATATGAGACACAGAGAATAATATTTTGCAACATTCATAGGTCACTTTGTATTTGCGAGTAGGAGCTAAGAAAAATTAAGTAAATTTACTTACATATAATTTAGGTAAAGGAAATTATTTTATGTTATAACTGACAAATTATTAAGAAATAGATCACTTACATATATTACAATGTTGCCCAGTCACATAAGGAGGACAGATGCATCGATAAGTTCCAATCTCATCAACACATGTACTGCCATGTGCGCACGGAGCAGACGCACATTCATTAATGTTAATACGGCAGTCAGGTCCAAAGAAGCCTGTGCTACATTTGCACAAGAACCAGTTGACACCATCAATGCATGTGCCATTATTATGACAAGGATTGGGATTACAGTCATCAGAATCTGTCAAAAGCAAAAATATGCAAGAATTACTCACAAACGTATATAAAACTCGATCTCGTGTTCATCATAAATGCTATTCTCTTCTTTTACAGGATTAAAGTACTAATATGCAGCACATATGTATGCATAGTATATTGACAATACTCAGAGCAGGAGTAAAGCATTTTGCCATATTGTGCAGTCTCTTAAAATTTGTAAATTCTACTGCTCGGTGCCTCCCTGAATTCTAAAAATTTTATGGCCCCTAAATTTTACAGATTTTGCGCTTGATACTTCTTTCGATTAAAAAAAATTTGATATCCAACATAGCTTCAGCATTTGCACTGCCTCTGCTGCCAGCCCTAGCAATATTTGTGAAAATGTAACATTAAAAAATATGTAATTAAAATAGGAAAATTTGATCTTAACAAAATTCTGAGCAAATAAATTAGTTTAAAATGAGAGAAAAATATTCTTAACTAAACTAAAACTTATTCAAACAACCCATGCTTAAGAAGTTAAAGAGTCTTATGTAAATTAAACCTACTAAACAGTGAAATAATATTTACAAAATAGTTTAAAACGTTTTCAACAATGGATATTAAAAAAAATATTATTTAACATTCCAGCAGCATACAACTCATTTCTATATTACAAAAACTAGTTTAGAAATATTTGCAAATTTCTCTGGCATCATATATGCTGTTCATAATTATTTCTTTCTTCAAGTCCAAATCTGGCATAGAACTTACAGAATATATCCGTGGAAGGAAAGAGAATTTTTAATAATTACATTTAATTTCTTCAGTAATTAATCAGAAGCATTTCTTTCATTTCAATGGTCTAATAAATATGCCTGTGATTTATTCTATAGTTTCTGGTGAATCTGAAGGCTTTATCAAAAAATATGAAAATATTGTACTTTATGCTACAGAAAATATTGTTAGGAATTTGGTATTTAAAAAGCTAATATTAGTTCAATTATAAATTAATTGGTTTTATTTCTCGCGCAGTGCAGCGCGTGACGAATATTAAAAAAAAGCTAAGCCGGAAAATTGAAAATACAAGGGCGCGTGCATTAAATAAATAAATATCTCTTTTTGATTTCGAGAAAGTACTGGAAAATTCTAGCGCGTGTTTTTAAAATCTTATAAAAGGAGGAAAACATCTCAGTTTGTAGTAGTTGCTTAGTTTGTTGTTGTTTAAAAAAACTACTGTTGTTGATTGTAGCGAATTCGTGGATTAGCGTTCTTTAGCTGTTTTGAATTACGTTCTATTGGACATTTGAGTAGTTAAAAGAAAACTACTGTGAGATATTGTAATACTGCGTGATAATTTGAGAAAATTTAAGCATTTTTGTTGTGATAATAATAAATTTTTGTTCATTTTTTTTTCATCGGACTTGTGCATTCATTTCATAACGAACCCGTACGCACGCAACAATTTTTGGTGTGAGAAGTGGGATTTGAATGCCAATAACAAGAGCAATGGAAGAACAATTCAGGCAAATGATGACTGCATTTGCTGCTTTCCAAGAAAAGATGGAAGGGGCCGTCAAATCCGTTAAGGAAGAAATGAAATTGGGCCAGGAATCCGTTAAGGAAGAAATGAAATTGGGCCAGGAATCCGTTAAGGATGAAATGAAAGCCGTTCAAGCTGGTCAAGAAAAGATTGAAGCATGTCAAGAAGAAATGAAAAGAGAAATTACCTGCATAATAGAAAATAAATTTGAAGCTATGGAAGGCAGAATTGACACAGTTGAAAATAAAGTTGGACAAATTGAAGAAAAAGTTTCTTTCGTAAAAGATCAAATTGAAGAAAGAGTTTCTTCGGTGAAAGAAGAAATAGAAAAAAAAGTTTCTTCTGTAAAAGAAGAAATAGAAAAAAAAGTTTCTTCTGTAAAAGAACATATAGAAGGGAGAGTTTCGGCTGTGGAGGAACGAATTGAAGGAAGAGTTTGTGCCGTCCAACACCAAGTCGAACAACAAATTGATGAGAGAATTTCTGCAGTTGCCAAAGAAATGGAAACGTTAAAGAAATTCGTAGCGACGGCAGGGAGCAAGAATGATGATTTTAAATTCTTACCGATGCCTGCTCGTCCATTTCTGAAGCTATCCACATATGATGGGAAGACATCCTGGCAAGTGTACAAGACCCAGTTTTCTATCGTTGCGGATGCGAATGGATGGGATTCCCAAGCTAAGGCCTGTCATCTCGCCGCTTCTTTAAGAGCCGACGCAGCGGATATCCTTCAGACTCTTCCCGAAAACAAAAGGTTAGATTTCGAAGCTCTGTCCGGCGCTTTGGAGCTGCGCTTTGGCGAGAAATGTTTAAAAGACTACAGCAGGCTTCAATTAAAATCCCGTCAATAGAAGCCCACTGAATCACTTCAGGAGCTCGCCACGGATGTTGAAAAGCTGTCACATCACGCCTTTTCGGAGTGCCCAACAGAAACAAGGGAAATCCTGTCCCTGCAATATTTCATCGATGGCATCCGGGATACTGAAATACAAAAAGCTCTACGAATGGCGGATGTAAAAGATTTAAAAAGCGCTCTAGTGTACGCCATGAAATTCGAGGCAGCCCAGCAAGCCACTCGTCGAGACCGCCACCCAGTCAGAGCTGCTCAAGTCCAGGAGCCAGGGGATCAAGTCACCGCTCGTCCAGACGATTTAACTAGACAACTGAATGCCTTGAGACGGAATATTGGTGAGAAGAAACCGACCGTTAAGTGCCGGAACTGCGGTGCTGAAGGACACATACGACGAAACTGCAGAATACCCCAGGGTACGGATGTTAAGACCGCTTCTAACAAGCAGCAGGGAAACTAATTAGTGGCCATCTCGCGGGGCGGAGGTTGCCAGATAATGAAAAGCCCCAGTTTAAAGCGCTTCAGATTTCTGCAGTGAGAGGCGGCAGTAATGGACTTTTCATAATAGGACATATTAACGGAGTCCCCTGCAATATGACGATAGATGCAGGAGCCAACGTTACCATCATCCGAAAAGATTTGGCTCAACAACTGGAAAGCAAACTTATCTGGACGCCGCCCTGCGTTACCCTACAGACTGTGTCCGGTGAGAAGATCGACATCAATGGGAAAGTAAATGTTAACATCACGTTTGGAAGTGCCGCTTACCATCACACGGCATATGTAGCAGAGATCACTGATTCTTGCATACTCGGATTGGACTTTCTAAGGAAATACAATTTTTCCTTGGACTTTAAAAATAACGAATTGCATTCTGCGTCTGAGGACATAACGTTATTTGGAATTAATAATGAAGAAGTTAAATCTGTCCACAGAATCATAGCACAAGACAATATCACAATACCGGCAAGAACAGAAATTTTTACTCCTGGAGCCATAACCGAAAACAGAGATTTCCGCTACGGCATCATAGAATATCCTAATAACTGTAATAGCCCGAAAGGAGTACTAGTTAGCCTCAACACTCGTCGACCTATCGAGAATGGGTTATCCCGGTGAGAGTTGCCAATGTAACTGAGAAGGCGAGAGGTTATTAAGAAAGGCGGACGTGGTTGCAGCATGTACTCCAGTAACCAGCGTTGAAAGCCAAAGAGCAACATCCAAGAATCCGTGTCCTCATCAGAGAGCATTACATCGGAGTTATTGCAGAATGCGCAATTGAACGATGAAGAGAAGGAATGCTGCCGATCGCGTCTCATTCAAAGATCTTCAAGTTGTTTTCTCCTGCTCGTCTTCTGACGTGGGTCGAACTAGTTTGACACAACATAGAATAGATACTGGCGATCATCCCCCGATCAAAGCAACATCCAAGACGTCTAACCGTTTGCTAAACAGGAAGAGGTGCGAACACTGTTAAAAGATATGGAAGAAGGCGATGTCATCGAGCCTTCAGCGAGTCCATGGGCATCTCCCATCGTTCTCGTCAGAAAGAAAGACGGCTCAACAAGATTTTGCGTTTGACTATAGCGCCGGTTGAATGAGGTTACGAAGAAAGACAGTTATCCTCTTCCTAGAATTGACGACATTCTAGACACTCTTTCTGGAAGCAAGTGGTTCTCAACACTTGATTTAAAGAATGGGTATTGGCAGGTAGAAATACAGCCTGAAGACCGAGAAAAGACGGCATTTACTACGGGACAAGGGCTTTGGCAATTCAAGGTGATGCCGTTTGGACTGTGTAATGCGCCGGCAACATTCGAACGTCTTTTGGAGACTGTTTTGAAAGGTCTTTCCTACGAAGCCTGCCTGATATACCTGGACGACATCATCATCGTCGGAAAGAGTTTTGAAGAACATTTAGAAAATCTTAGGAAGGTGCTTCAGAAACTGAAAGAAGCCAATCTGAAGTTGAGTCCCGCTAAATGCAAATTGTTCCGAAAGGAAGTGACTTACCTGGGACATGTCATCTCTGCAGAAGGTGTGCGCACGGATCCTGAAAAGGTATCAGCGGGTAAATCCTGGAAATGTCCTGAAAATGTCCATCAGCTGAGAAGCTTCCTAGGGCTTTGCACCTACTATAGGAGATTCGTGAAGGACTTTTCTTCCATCGCAAGACCCCTTCACAAGCTGACAGAGAGCAAGCAAAGATTCTTGTGGACAAAAGAATGCGAGGATGCATTTAACAACTTAAAGGAGGCTTTAACATCTGCTCCAATCCTGACGTATCCTCAGCTCGACCGACCATTTATTCTGACACCGACGCGAGCAATGAATGAGTGTCGGTGCTGTTTTGTCCCAAGAAATAGACGGCCAAGAACGTGTAGTGGCCTACTGGAGCAAGTGCCTGTCTAAACCGGAGAGGAATTATTGTGTCACCAGGAAAGAGTTGCTCGCCATAGTCAAAGCCGTAGAACAGTTCCATCACTATCTATATGGCAGAAAATTCCTGCTCCGCACCGATCATGCATCATTGACCTGGCTTTTAAATTTCAAGAATCCTGAGGGTCAAATAGCCAGGTGGATACAGAGACTCCAAGAATATGACATCACTATCCGTCATCGTAAGGGATCATCACACGGAAACGCCGACGCCCTGTCTAGAAGACCTTGCCAAGAAAGCTGCCGATATTGTTCCAGGGTGGAAGCGAAATACGAGCTGCTGACTCCGGTCGCAAGACAAATTACAACATCAACATCGGCTGATCGAGAACCGTGGAGTGATGATGAAGTCAGGAAAGACCAGCTGGAAGACCGCGACATTAAACCGATAATTGATTTAATGGAGTCATCAACCAGAAAACCTACCTGGCAGGACATTTCTATCTGTAGTCCTACAACCAAAACAGTATTGGGCACTCTGGGATTCACTTCACATTCGAAACGGCGTCTTATACCGGAAATTTGAATCGGATGATGGGAAGACGTTCCGATGGCAGCTGATACTTCCAAGATCCCGCATTCCTGATGTCCTTAAAGAACTACATAACAGCCCTACGGGAGGTCACTTTGGAATAATGAAGACCTTACAGAGAGTTCGTGAGCGCTTTTACTGGAATAATGCAAAGGATGACGTGCAAAAGGGGTGCCGATCCTGCGATGCCTGTGCAGGTCGGAAAGGACCGAAGAGACGCAGCCGAGGCAAGCTGCAACGTTACAACGTAGGGGCGGCCTTTTGAACGTATCGCCTTTGACATCTTGGGACATCTGCCACGAACTGCTGGATGGCAACAAATATATACTCGTTGTCATTGATTACTTCACCAAGTGGCCTGAAGCGTACCCTGTTCCTGATCCACAGGCTGTCACAGTAGCTGAGGTAATGATACAGCACTGGATTTCCAGGTTCGGAGTTCCTCTTCAGTTACATTCCGATCAGGGAAGGAATTTTACCTCGGCAGTAATCAAAGAACTATGCAAACTACTCGGCATTGACAAAACTCAAACGACGCCATTGCATCCCCAGTCGGACGGCATGGTAGAGAGGTTCAATCGAACCATCCTTAATAACCTCTCATTAGTGGTTTCCAGAAACCAACAGGACTGGGACAAGAAATTACCACTCTTTTTACTGGCTTACCGCAGTGCTGTCCACGACACTACCGGCTATTCTCCATCACAAAATGCTCTTCGGTCGTGATCTTCGTCTGCCTTGTGATCTATTGTTTGGGCCGCCCTCCGGATGCTCCTTCATCGTCTGAGGAATATATTCAAGATCTCCAGGCCCGGTTTGAGAGTGATGCACAACTTTGCACGAGAGAGCGAGTCAACTTGGCGACGGAGAAGAAGATGAAGACCCGATACGACACAAGAGCTACTGAACATCAATTCCACGAAGGAGACAAGGTGTGGCTGTGGAATCCGACTCGACGGAACGGACTTTGTCCGAAATTACAGTCACCTTGGGATGGCCTGTACACAGTCCTAAACAGGCTGAATGACGTCGTGGTTCGGATTCGTAAGTCTTCGAACTCTAAACCTAAAGTCGTTCATTACGACAGGTTAGCACATTACTATGGCCATAGTACATAATGTAAATAATTGTAAATAGTATAAGACCATGGTCCTTTTTGTTTATAAATGTGTATTTGATTTGATTTGTATTTAGTATTTGATTTGCATTTAGTATTTGATTTGTATTTAGTATTTGATTTGCATTTAGTATTTGATTTGTATTTAGTATTTGATTTGTATTTAGTATTTGTTTTGTATTTAGTATTTGATAGCATTTGATTTGTTCAAGTTAGTTATTGCATTTATTGTTTATATTGTTTGATATTGTAATGTAATGTTTATGCCTCAGTTGCATTTATGCCACAGTTGTAAATTTAGCTTCCTGTCCAGGGATTGTACTGCCCGGGACGTGCAGTCCTTGGGAAGGGGGCAGTGTTACGAATTTGGTATTTAAAAAGCTAATATTAGTTCAATTATAAATTAATTGGTTTTATTTCTCGCGCAGTGCAGCGCGTGACGAATATTAAAAAAAAGCTAAGCCGGAAAATTGAAAATACAAGAGCGCGTGCATTAAATAAATAAATATCTCTTTTTGATTTCGAGAAAGTACTGGAAAATTCTAGCGCGTGATTTTAAAATCTTATAAAAGGAGGAAAACATCTCAGTTGTAGTAGTTGCTTAGTCTGTTGTTGTTTAAAAAAACTACTGTTGTTGATTGTAGCGAATTCGTGGATTAGCGTTCTTTAGCTGTTTTGAATTACGTTCTATTGGACATTTGAGTAGTTAAAAGAAAACTACTGTGAGATATTGTAATACTGCGTGATAATTTGAGAAAATTTAAGCATTTTTGTTGTGATAATAATAAATTTTTGTTCATTTTTTTTTCATCGGACTTGTGCATTCATTTCATAACGAACCCGTACGCACGCAACAATATATTATTACAATATTTATAAGATAGTTTCCGGGATGCTTATTTAAAAAAGAATAAATTGAATGAATTATTCCAATAGCAGCAAAAACTTGACTTTTAGATCCAAGACTCATTAGATATATTAAAATCAAAATGAAATAATACCAGATAGTGTTACTTTATCAACAAAGAAATTGGTGCAGTACTTTCTTATGTAGCGCTAATGGCAGAACAAGACTCAAAAAATTACAGAATCTCTACTTTTATCTACACTAAAATTCTGGAGATATTTGTTTAAAAATGGATGACTCAAACAAGACTACATTCAACAACACACAAATTATCACCAGCAAAATAACAATGATTTACAAAGTAAACTTAACAAATAAAACTTACCTACCATGACCTGTTATCCTTTTCAAATAAAAAACCAAATAATACAGCTGTTCTAAGCAGAGGATAATTAAAGTTCAGTTCTTAAATCAGACATACACTTAAAAATAATCTCTTCCCAACTTCTGCAAGTTAATCTTACTATCAGACTCTCAGTAATTCTGAGACAAATCCCTTGCTAGCATAATTAAATTTGGTGCGACTTCCCGGAATTTGTGAAAATTGACATGATGGAAAATAAGAACAACACTTACTAACTGACAATTAACTACAAGCAATTAAATATAACTGTCACATTTGCAGATATATCTCGATTACTCGGCTACTGCATCTTCTGAAAAGTAAATTCAGAAATATACTTATATTATTACGAATGTCATCAAATCATGAGCCTAATTTTTTATTTAAATTTGAGCTGTCTATATATGGAAAATAACAATATGCACAAAATGTTCTACACTGCAAGATGTGAGGAAGAAAATATTTACACAAATTTATAAGAATATTCTGACAATTACTCACCATATTGGCAAAGAGGGCCTTCATAGCCTTCCCTGCATATGCACAGGAAATTGGTCCCAATGTTAACACAAGTAGCTCCATTATGACAAGGATTTGAATGGCAACTGGGATTTTTTGCTACAATCAGAAAATTAGGATAGTTTTAGTTATGGAATATTTAAATGCAATAGGGCTCTTTTATTAATTCATTAATTTTAAACAGGTTCAAAGCAGAAATTTTAAACTTGAAAATTAATGGTTTTCAGATACTGAAACCTTTATTTTGAGGTAATAATTAAATATTAATATTACGTACAGAAATTTGCAAAAAGGTACTAAAACATCCTTCATTTGCTAAACGGGCATCCCAGTCCATGTCATGAATATGAAATCTGCATTTAGATAATTATGTCAGAAAGATTTATACACTGAAAATAGGTTATTTAGGTATTCCTCATATCAGAAGCAAGCTCCTTCAGCCTCCAACAGCATCCTCTGAGCAACCCATTCGCTTACAGTTAAGTTACCAGAATACAATAACAGAAATCATAATCAGCATGATGTATCTTATCTGTTGATTAAAACACACCGCAATGTAGATGTTTCTAGAGAAAGTCATGTCTGGTGAAGATTTTAATTTTGTAGCGAAATCTGCAAGAAGTCTGATTGGAGTAACGAAGTTATGCAGAGGATTTGAATGTAGATATTTCAATATGAAGACAGAAGAATCCTGGATTTAATATATTACAGGCAATCATAATACATACGGTAATTAATCATAAATTATAATTTAATTAATTATTACAGATATTTTTAGTAACATTTAAGAAAATTTGACAGCATCAAGTAAATTCATGAAAAAAAAAAAAAAAAACTTGAAGATTTTACTTTATTAACAATACTGTTCCTACAGATGCAAAATTTGAAAATTAATTCATAATAAAATATTCATGTTCAAAACTTCCCATAACTCTTTAATTTCTATTCCTGAAGTCCATGAACTTTCAGATATATTTGCAGTGAAGTTAACTTTCAAGTGACTAGATTAATTGATGGATAAGTGTTAATGAGTACTTCATAATCTGCAATAGATTCAATATTATATTTCACCAGATATTTAAAATAAGATTCACCTAACTCCTTATTTTTGAGTCACTTATCAATTCGATATGGTTTGTTCTTTAATCTTGGATGTACACTTTTTATTGCTTCTTTGATTTGCAGGAAGAAGCAGAACTTGAAGCATACAAAGTAGTTTTTCTGCTTCTTTACAATGCAAACTTTTTCTTAAGCATCAACTATTACCTAAGCTTTTATGTAAATATTCTCAATCCGAATTCCAATAAAGCGATGAGAATTATATCTAGAAGAGATAACCGTATACATATTTCAAACAAGAGTTTTAAATAAACAGTTTTTATGAAAATTTCTTTGCTTTTAATATATACGGGAACCTTTTTCTTAAAGTTGCATTAGTTTTTTGAAGAAACGTTATTTAAGACTGCCTACAAGAAAGAAAATTTTCGCGGAAATCCGAAATCAAAAACTCCAAGTGTACTTCAAGATTTTATATATTGAGAAAATTAGCATCATATTCATAAAAGAAAGTCGGTAATGTATTTTCTGTTCTTATTTTATAACTATGATCTGCAAAGTTTGTTAACTTCAGGAAAACTTAAAATATTCTTTTCGGAACCCCCCAGAAAAGTAAGCGGAAAAAATACTGAAAATACTATATCAATGATGCATACATTTTATACAGAAAATGAAACAGAAATCCTTATTACATAATAATTTACTCATGAAAAATGATATACTCTACATTATTTGATTGAACAACATAAAAAAATTCATTTAATTAATTATTTTAGATATTTAGTTTTGTAGTTAACATATTCATTTAAGCTGTATATATATATGGAAAATAACAATATGCACAAAATTTTCTACACTGCAAGATGTGAGGAATCCTCCTGAAATTACATGAAAAGAAACTCAGTCTCGCCTTCCCCCCCAGAAAACAATAACAAACCATAAATAGCCTTTAAAGATCAAATTTTGATTTTGACTCGCACAACCCCTAAAGGAGTTGCATGGTGCTATTTTCAATAAACTATCATACATTGCGTAATTCCCATAATAGTAATATAACTCATATTTACATTTCTGGATAATCAAACATAGATAGTGAGTGTAATGATCTCTTCAAAATCAATTATTTTTATTGCAGATATAAGTAAGACAGACCTAATACTTTATCACATTGCTTTAAAGGAATTTTTTTCTTTCAATTTAGGGGGCATAGATCCAAAGTAACTACTGAAAATGGTGAGCTTATCGACCTGATGCTTCTCTGTATCTGTAAAGCCCCACAATTCTGAAATAAGCGTCTTGAATCTTGAAACACTCCAAAGTTTCTTTATCTTATTTTTGTTATCCCTTCTTATTCCGGCTTTCTCCGCATTTACCCTGGATTTTAAGCACAATTTACATAATTATACATAAATTTAAGTAACGAAATCTGTACAACACTTACCAATTTGACAGGTGTGGCCTTCCCATCCTGCCTTACAATGACACCTAAAAGTCTCTCCTAAATCAATACATGTCCCTCCATTCTGACACGTACTCAAGTCACAGTGACCATGACCTGCATTAAAAAAGAATGATAAATGAGTAAAAAGGTACGTTTTTTTAAAATTCATACAACTACAGCTCAAACACTGAAACTTTTGCTCTTTTAATCCTATTTTTTGGATATTAAATTTCTAATTTTTTTATGCTTTTCAGTCTCAAAAGTTTTATTTTTGGAAAAAAAAAAAAAAAAAAAATCCTGAAATTACATGAGAAGAAACTCAGTCTCGCCTTTCCCCCTCCCCCAAGGAAACAATAATAAACCATAAATAGCCTTCAAAATCCCAATGATATTGTCATAAATATTTGTAAAATGTTTTCATATTACTTCAAATTTATGTCATTGTCTCTGTGAGAAATAAACATTTTCTGGAGCCAATAAAACAGTCAAATACAATATTTATAGTTGCTTTATCATTTTTCACATTTATCTCTTTGGACATATATCTGATTTTTTTCTCCCTTTTTAGGTAAAAGAATAAATCAACTTTAAATGATTAACTGAGCTAGTTGCTACATAACATTTAACCTTAAAGTGGTCCTGAACGAACATAGCAAAGATTCGAGGTGTGCACTATAATGTGCGCAAATGAGCTCAGTTTGGCAAATGACTTCTGTTAATGGGATATAAGCATGTCCTACGTATAAAACAGATCTTTGCCCCAATACAGATAGTTTGGTTGAGATGATCTTATTCCTGGAACTAATCCGACATTGAGTAACTTTTTGAACACTAAGTCACAGAAACTAAGTAGCGAGATCTATTTAGTAGAATGTATATTCCACTATCACGTTGGCTATGATAATGTGTTTGATGCATTATTAGTAATAATTGCTGAACTGTCTGTCCAGAAAGTATGTGTTTAAATTTAATTTATTTTATTTCAATACATTGCATATTTAAATAAATTGCTCACAAGATGGTATTGAATAAAATAATAAATACAAATTTATAATAAATTACTACTGTATGAATACAATAAATAAACTACATAATGTAGACGTTACATGAATTTTCTATGTGCATTAGAAATCACCTGGTTTTGTTCAAGTGGGAAAAAAAAAAAAAAAAAAAGCATGCAACATTTTTTAGATAGAATTGAGTATCTACGCATTTATTACATAAAATATATAAACAGCCTAGAGGATAATTTATTGAAAATTTTGAGAGTGAAATATTTCCTCCACATAAAACTTCACCAAAAGCTATCAAGTGCGTGTATGATTTTTGGGCTCAAAATTTTGCTAATAAATGGGCCTTTTGTACAGTAGCACTCAATACTTTTTTTTTAAATGATGATAGCAGGTTCTTTAACATAAAGCAAACATTATGAGGGTATATATGGAGCATGGATATAAAAACTGAATAAATATTATGTAATAGAACATAATGATAACAAAATTGAGGAAGCAATTTTTTTTATAACATAGGTAATCTTACAAAATTGTTTAAGGATTCTTCTAAATGCTATAAAGACTCAAAGGAAAAGCATTGCAATCATTTTAGTATTATGTATAACATCTTCTGAGTTATTTGCTGCTCTTTTCAAGTGACATTTTGAAAACCATAGCGCAAAGCATCTATGAATATACGTTAGAAGCATAAGAAATTTTTCGTTAAGAACAGATTGTGAAGTGGGGGCTGAAACAAAAATTAAAGCCATTCTATAATTATTAATAATGACAAGAGCATTATCACAAATTTCTTTGCTAAAACTGCACTGATTAAAATGAAACAATAACATGAAATTTATAGATCACTTACGCAAACTGCAAGTTTTGCCTTTCCAGCCATCTCTGCAGTTACAAATATAATCTGCAATTCCATCAATGCAACTTCCATTATTGTTACACGGATTTGGGTCACAGTCATTTTTATCTGGAAAAAATTCATATAGAATAAGTTTTTGATTATAATTCAAGAAATACTTTCAATTAATTCTAAGGCTCAAAACATTAATTACATGCATACATTCAGGTATTTTCACACAAGTAAAATAATTGCATTAATTAGTAACAGACACACACACAATATTAAAGAGGAAGATATCAAATTGTCTAAAAATATTAAATAAATTAAGCTTTAATATTCAAGAAACATAAATAACTGACGGGAATAATTCTGTACCTTTTTAATATAGTATTAACAAACAACAACTTAGTTGTTAATCATAAAATTACATTGTAACTTTCTTACTTATCTGGCAGAAACGTCCTTCCCAACCTTCTTGACAAAAACATTGGAAAGAATTTAGTCCATCCACACATGTCCCACCATTTTTACATGGCGAAGAAATGCAGTCATTTATATCTAAAGAAGAAAGATATAACAAGTTATCAAAAGAAAGACATACATAGAGAAAACAGAATGTTAAATCGATGATGAGTGGTGATGAATTTTACAAACTAAAATAAATGCATTTTCTGAAATAATTATAAACGAATTAATTGATGCAAAGCAGCTCAGCATTTAATTTTTATTACATTTTGATATGTATTAATGCTGCATCCAGAACTTTGAAGTTTTGATAATAAATAACAATTTAATTAAATTTCAAAATTTCACTTTTTAGATATACAAAATGTTAAAACATAAATTATAGTAAAACGATCGATATTAAAATAAGAAATAGTTTAATAATTTAGAAGATGTAACTTCTTTCTTTATCATGATTTTAAAAGAAAAGACACACTTTTTAAGAGTCAAAGCAGTAGATTTTTCTTTGGAAGCAAATTATTTAATGCTATTATTTATTACCCTAAATAATCCTTATATGAGATTTTGGACAATTTTCTACTGAAAAGAAAAGCTATTGTTTTATCTCTCAAAATACATTGGTCTTTCCCTTTAAAATCACCCAAATGCTTGAATTTTTGCAAATAATTAATATTGAAGGTGTCCTATAACCCCTCCCATACATATTCTTTAGAGATACTGCATGGTTAACTTAACTGATTAGAATACTTATGAATGGAAAATTGACATTTTTATTAAGTTTCACTGAAGTATCAGCACTTTTGTGATGAACTTTGCTCATTTCCAATTCCTTTAATTTTTATGCTCATCAACAAAAATACGATGTTCTTGATCTGTGAGAAATAATTCAGCACAGACAGCATTTGTTTATCAAAACTATTTCTAGAGGTACAGGAAATATTAACTAGAAAACACAGGAATGATGCTAATAAGAATATTGCGTTTTACAAAATATACATTCCTCATTACTTAATACAGAAATTATGAATCCAAGGTTTAACAGAATATATAACTTTACAAAGATTAAAAAAAAAAAAGTCCTAGGTATGGAAAACAGTGTGTATGAAATATAGAAAGTATCTTTTCGGAAGATTTCAAAGAATACAACAACAAAAGCACCCACACTATTTGTGTAAATTTTTCAATAATTTTTCTTTTTTAAATCTTAAAATGATAAAATAAATGAAGTAGACCTTACTTCTACCCTACTTCATAATACCTGTACATTGAAGCTTAAAAATGATGCATAGTAGTGTTCTGGTAACTTTAAAAACAGGCCTGAAGTTTGAAATACAAAAAAGTTGAAATAGACGCTTGAAAGATAAATAATTGAATTTTCTATGTTTCTTTCTGGAACAGGCTCCTGTATGGCCACATTAAAAAATCCCCAACCTTATGCATCAGGATCAAGAAAAAATTTTTTAATGAGAGTGCACTAAGCAGTTGTGTAAAACAACAATTAGTCGATAAAATTTCAACAGCAAGAAATAGCAATGAAATAAAACAAATTACCTGTGAGATGGCTGCACAATCCAAAAAAATTATTCTAATATTTAATCAAAAATCCCCCCCCATATCTAACAACTGAAGAAACAGATGATTTTTAGCTCAAGGAGATACATTATTGTTTTGTAAGTGCGAAGACGTGCACTAATTACAACTTTCATCGTGCTGCCCAATTTTTAAATACTAATGAAAATTAGTTTGAGAAAGTGGAGCAATGAAACATTATGAGCAAGTGGCAAAATTTGAAGTGAGCTCTAAAGAAGAGACAGGCTAAATGGTTGCCATAATAATAACACAGCAGAGAGATATAAGTAGTCACTTTCAGCAATTTATTACAATTTTGTTGATTTTAACTCAAGCAGAATGCTAAAATTAGCTCTTTTTTGCAATGATTTCAAATAATATAAAAATATATTTTTATATCCTACTGACACCAAAGCTATATCACAGTTTTAAAGTCCTATTTTAAATTAAGAACTTACTCTCATGACAGTACCGTCCGGTATAGCCTGCATCACAGATGCAAGAAAACCCACCCATGTGATCATTGATGCATTTTCCATGATCTCCACACAAGCTGGAAGAAACATGTCTCACTCCCAGAGAAGAATTCGGGGCTGCTGTGGCACATCTGTCTCTATGGGCTGTCATGATAATAAGAAAACATTTATTTTCAAATGATTAAATGAATTATTAGAGTAGTTAATAATATTAATAAAATGAAAAACCTAACACAAATTATCCTAAAATTTATTGCATTTCATCAAAAATTTTCTTCTAAGTTTTGCAAAATGTATTAATCATTGTAATCACATTCTTTTAAATCATTACATGAGATCAACTTCATCTCGCATTGAAAATTTTATTTAACTCAATTGTTAGACTTCACGACGGCTCTGCTAGCTACTATATTTTTCAAGAATTGATTTCAGAATGAAATTTTATTCAAATTGAAGCTCGTTTGTTAATATACTACTTTAATGCCCTTACAAAAAAAATGCAATTATTGCCACCCTCTATTTATGTAATCATCATGCACAGCTAGAGAACTTTACTAAAGACATAATTTTCTTACCCTTCCCAAAATAAAAAAATGAAAAAAAAAAAAAAAAAAAAAAAAAATCTGTATATAAATTCATACTTTCACAAGGTGGTCTTTGGCACTGAATTTTTGGCAATGAACAATTTTTTCCTTGATAACCTGGAGGACAAAGGCACGTATAATCAAACTGCATGTTGATACAAGAAGCTCCATTGTGGCATGGATTTGGATAACATAAATCATCATCAACCTATAAATATATCATCACACAATTGTTTCAAACACATTTTAAATCACACCTAAGCATAAAAAAAGTATAATGTCAAAACGCATACATTGATAATATGGATGGAATAGAGATATGGAGGAGATATGTGATATTGTTTGCTGTTTCTGTTACATCTATAGAGAATTCTTCACATGATAACTTTGCATTCATTCATACTAGAGAATTCGCATCAATTCAGTAATACTTACATAATAAATCCATGTCTGTAGTCTCATGGCAGAAAGACATTAACTTAATTACTTCAAATACAGTCAATCTTATTTATAACAAAGTCAATTGTAATGAATCTGCAATTCTACGAAAAATAATTTAATGATTCATGACCTGAAGAATTGAAAGCAATGAAGTAACTAATTAAATTGAAAGTAATGTTGAATATACTTCCTGCTGCAAATTCTTTTTCAAATTATTGATTAGCAAAGCATTTTTTTTCTTCTTATTTTTTTATATTCAACTGGCAGGAAACTTGGTACTTCTCTTTGAAGATTCTATGCAATAATTTTCTTCCTCTCCCTATCAATTTCTGTATGGTTTTTACAAAGTAACAAAAGATTATTTTGATCCTCATTTTATCCAAAGAGAAGTATGTTTATATACTGTTACAAAAAATACTGATTTTTCTTGGTACCAAATGGCTGTGATGAGTGGCTATCTTTCCATGAACAACCTCACTTTGAAACCTTGTCTAATTTTTTTTTCTTTCCCAAATAAACTCACTTTGAAAGCTTAAGAGACGAAACCATTCCGGAAAAAAGCCCAACACAGCATTAATATGAAATTTTATCTTAACAAAAAGGATTTTTATGTCAAAATTTTTATAATTAAAAAATGGTAAAACAAAGAATAGTGACCGCTTATAGAAGGGGTTCTCAACCGGGGGGGATATGGTCAGCCTTTTATTTGCATACTAAGTATTTAATTTTATTTTGTGAACTTATTTATGAATTTTTGAATTTATTTATAAATTTTACTTATATTTATTTCATTTTATGCATGTGAAAAACTAATTCGAATGTTAACATTTATGAACATTTTCTATACTTTTTCTCATTTAATTTATAAAACATATTAAAAGTAATCTAAATTTAAACAAATTTATATGTATTTTTCAAGCTTTGAAATGGAGGAGGGGGAGTCCTTCGTCTAGCAATAATGAAAGGGATGCATGGAGCAAAAAAGGCTGAGAACCCCTGTTTTACAGCACTTACTTTTAGCTTGCAATCAAAGCAAAAAGCAAGTTCATTCAGTAATTAGATAATTAAAAAAAAGCCTGTAAGATGGAATTTCTATGTTTTAGAATTTTTAGAATATTTTTTAATTATATTTTTATAACGACTTTATTAATTTATCCAATTTTTGCCACCATCCTTATGATTTTATTACAAACAGATTGACTGCATTAGACAATGCAAATTTTGCAAAGTTAATTAAATATCAAAAGAATAAAACTGACTGATTTCATACATCTAATCCCAAATTCAAAACACATCCCACTGAGGTCATATAACAGTATTAAATAAAATGTTCACTATATTTAACATAACTTCCTTCAGTACTTATTATTATCTTCATGGCTTTGACGCAATTCCACAATCTCAACTTTTAGATACACTTTCTTAGTTGTGATACAAGATGCTAATTTCTCAATCAATCATGGAAGGCGGATATATTTCACAAATATAACAAAGAATATTTCAAAATTATTTTTTTAATGCAAGAATAATTTTTCTGCATATTAACCAAGACTTACCTCACAGCGATATCCTTTGTATCCCACAGGACATATGCAACGATAATCAGCTACGAGGTCCACGCATTCTCCACCATTGAGACAGGGATTGCTGGCACATTCGTTGATATTCGTCTGGCATTCACGGCCAGTGAATCCTGGTAGACATGCGCAATGATAGTCATTTACTAGATCTATGCAGGTTGCACCATTCAGGCACTGTCCAAGGCAATCATTGAGGTTCTGATCGCAATTCTTGCCATCCCATCCAGGAAGACAAGTGCACTGATAATCTCCCACTAGATTTCGGCAACTAATGGCATTCACACAAGGGTTTACGCTGCATTCATCGGCATCTACAGAGAAAAGGGAAATCAGCATAATCAGCAAAATGCATATTGTCTGCATAAGACTACCACTAAAAATAAGGGGCGGAAAAAAGAGACAAGGAGAGAGAAAATTAATGAACAAAACATAATTTGGAAATCTTGTCAGGAAAAGAATCATAATAGATAAATTTAAAACTTTGGCAAAGCATAGAAACTGTGAGGTTATGAGCAACTCACAACAACTGTTTTTAGTTGCTGCATTCCGCATCAATGTGAGATAGATTACGTTACAGTAATAACTATTTGAAAAATTTAAGTTAGCTAGTTTTATCGGAAGGAAGTGGTTACTTCACTGATACAATCATTTTCTGGAGATAAATACATTGCCTATCAACCACATCACCAGATTGTCACTTACAGTAGATGACAGAATCACAGCTTGATTACCATCTAGACCTAGTGTGTCCGCACTTAGAGCCCCAGATTCTAAAAGGCCCCAAAATTATCCTATTATTTGTCACAAAATTGTTTATCCTGAATGGAAATGAGGTAACTGAGCACTAGGCCCCCTAATCTCATTATTGAGTACAATCAATTTTTGAACAATAATCTATCAATCTTTGTACAATAATCTTATCTGGCGGCGTTTAGTTACTCATCTATTAATAGATACTTATGAATATGAGGTAAAATTTGCAACTGCGTTGTATATAATATCCACAAAAAAAAGCATTTATTATTACATTTCTCAACTTTACATGCAAAAGGGGAGTACAATGTACACAGTTTCAACGTTTATATATAGTTGTAATTCATCTGTGGAACCTTGAAAAAATGCCTTGCCAAGAGCATGAATATATTATATTAGTCGGATGCTCTCTTTAATGTAAACCCATAAAGCTCAAGTCCAAGGACCCAAATTTTAGAGACTTACAAAACAGTCCCTGTAATCCTGTTTCTCTGTCATAAAAATGGGGGGAGGAGAGAAAAAAGAAAAAGAGGGGCAAAAAAGAAAGAGAAATGAGTGTCGGGATTTTTAGAAGAATGCTGTGCTTAGGACTTAAAAATCCCAGGTTGGTTTAATTCTGCCATGAGACAAACTAAAACTGACTTGGAATTGGAACTGGGGGTATTTAGATTATGGCAAAGCACACAAGGACTATCTGTCTAGGAAAAGGGATGCCTTCATGGAAGAATTTTTAAGGGACCTGGCTCACACTCACATTAAATATATAAAAAATCATGAAAATTTCCGTGTATTCAGTCTGTTCGCCGCGATATAAACCTGCAACAAACTGCAGTATTACGCGGTTTTACTACTTGGTTGCTGAAAGTTTAATTTAGAGAAAAATATTAAGAGAAGACAAATAAAACTTGATACCATGACTGGAGAAAAGTTCAGAAACAGTCTTTAAACCACAGGAGGAGAAGAATAAGTCTGAAGAATTTATGTACTAACTTGGCATAAAAAGGATAAATAACTGAATGAAAAACAAAATCATGTTTCTAAAATTTTAAATCTGTAGTTTTATTGATAAAGTACCACGAATTTATAATTTTCATGTGCAGGCTCATCCATCAAATAGCTGATCTTTACAAGGCAAAATGATTGCTAAATGTCAGTTAGGGTCATGAGAGACAGATTTTTAACCCTTAAGGCAAATCTCAAAATTTGTCTTTTGAATCACTTTCACATTAACAAATTACATAACTTATTCAGTTTTGTACTGCTTCTTTCTTTTGACCTTAGTGAAATGTCTTACTCTCTCTACCCTTGGCAGTGTTATGTATTTTTGCACCAGAGCATCAGAGTTGCATCAGAGCTTGTTGAAACTGTGTGATGACGATCATGACTATTGACCTATTGTTACATTACTGTATTAAAATGAGCAGCTTGGATAATACTGCACGGTCTTTAGCTCAAATACACATAATACAAAAGCACAATCAACTTTGATGAATAGGAGTAAAACAACGTGTAAGGATTAAGGAGGAGAGGAGTTTTAATTTTTAAGATAGTGCATCCATGAAGTAATTAGTTGGTGAAGATATCAATCCTGAAAGTTTTGGTAAAAGTATTCTTCACCCAAAAGAATTTAATGATCTCATAAGTTGCACATTTTAAACTTTATAATTAACAAGCATAAATATTTCGTTGACATTTTTATACATATTGACAGTTTAACTGCTGAAGGTAGTGTTCTATCTGCAAAATACTTAATTAGGGTAATTCGGAATAAATACAACTGTTATTTTGAAATACAAAATAAAGAATTTTGAAGTATATTATTCCATAATATAGCTTTAAATAGTGGTTAAATTGCTGAAAACACTATGTGGCTCATACCAAAAATGCCCATCTTGAACTGGCCTTCATATGAACAAAAGTTGACCATCGTTATTTTAGGTTCTGACATATAATAATTTCGGAATTCTAGAATGTGGTAGTATTTTTTTAAGAAAGTAGTTATTTTGTTTGAAACTGTTTGAGAATGCAACACAAATATTGTTTTCTCAAATAAAAATAAACTTACCAAATTGACATTGGTTTCCTTGCCATCCAGGATCACACAAACATCTGTAACCATTCACAAGATCTAAACAGGTACCACCATTCTGACAAGGATCCGATTCACATTCATTTATGTCTGGAAATAAAATGATATTTAAGAAGGAAATTTTTAAAAATCTTCTCGATACACATGAAGAACTATATATGTGCTATCTTCAAAAAGAAAGAGATACAAATTTCAGAAAGACTGATGAATTTATTCTTTGAAAGAGCGAAACCATAAGGTTTGCAAGATTCATCTGCTGCAGGTTGCATCTGAAATGCAATGCCTAATATTTCAATTATTTATTTTAATATATTGATCTACGTAGTGTACTATTCACATACAATTACTAGTTTTTAAATGCAGTGTTTCAATACATTTCTCAATGGCATTTTGGTCTTTGATTCCTCTTTTCATTAAACGCTTTGCCGCTGAAATTACTTCGCTTTTTTATCCAATGACATCTACAGAAATTTCGTAGAAATTCTATGATTCTTACTATTTCTCTATGTCTTTCCACTTTTGAAACGCTTAAATTCATCTGCGTCTACTACAAATGAAACATAAACAAATAGATGATATTCTGCCTAGATACATATTAAAGAAAACTTTGCAACACACAAATTTCTAATTCTAATGTTACGAAGTAAGCAATGCTAAATGCAACTCTGAAATTTATAGGCCATGTGTATATGGGTAATATTTTACTCTGTTTTTATAAAAAAAGCCACCCTAAGGAGACTAATATACTATGAAATATAATATGAAGACGATTTTCGGTACTTTTCCGTTTCGCCGGCGCAAATCTTGCCAAGCAGACTTTATTGGCGACAACATACATTATACACACAAAAAATATTAAAAAAATGTTAGTCCTAAGAATTCTTTTTTTGAAGGCATAAACATTTTAATATCGCTCAAAATTTTATAAAAAGCCAATAAATAAAGACAATAAACTTATAAAAAGACATTAATTTAAGAATTTACTATGCTTTCATGGTTCAACATCCTGTTTCGCCGGTTCATATCACGTGACCCCAAGCGATCTCATCTCACGTATACTACTCTACAAAAATATAATGCTCTCAGTAATTATCTACATTAGTTTCAAGTTAAATCTTAATTTGGAACACAAGTTTAAATGCAAGAAATACTTCAATTTGTACGAATAGCTTACTCAGAAATTATGTAAAACTGCAGTGCTTTGCTTCGCTAATGCATTCTCATTAGAATTGAGGAAGTTAACCCTTGACTTTACCTTTTCCATATTTTCGGCTTCGGGTAAGCGCTGTGATTGCATCCTAATTGATTTAATTGCCGAAAATGGTCTTAGACATAAAACTGAACTATCTGAATGAGGCGTAAAAGGTTACCAGCGAGAATATTCCGTTTGGCATCGGTTGTACCATTATTGGCGACTTTATCGCTTGCGCCAGCAAAACGGAAAAGTACCCGATTTTCTAACAACACGGGTATTTCTGTCATAGTCTACCCACTACTGGCCAAATATTTAAAGTTAGGAAACATTTGCGAATTTTTAGTTCTAAACTTAAATTTTGCTTCATGACCAAACGAACTGTTTCCCGGAAAAAAACGAAGAGCTCATAACACAGTTAAATTAACAATAACTAAAAATTTGGACTACAACATCGTCTAACTTAAAATAATGTATAACATAGTAACGTTCATTTATTTCTAGAACATTTATTTTTGCTTAATTTTTTAAAAGATTCATTAGCTTACGAACAATGGCACAGCTATTCTATGTCACTAACAACCTATATTTTACGTGGACTAGACATTCGGAAATAGTCTTAACTGTCTAATTTCAACTTCAGTTTACGCCTAAAAGGGTCTAATCACTAAAATTGCTGTCAGTTACCAAAGAAGAAGCAATTCATTAAACCGGGCAAGCAGTTTTTCAGGCACGAAGTCTTTAGGCATCAGCATAAGTTACATCAAGAAGCTGCAGTTTAAACTCACTGTCTTATAACTGAGATTAGCAAAGAACTTAAGGATTGGACAGCTATTGCAATGGAAGTCAAAAGAAGCAAGACAGCGAAAAACTTTAAATCTGCTAATAGAAAATCAACATAATTGTAACAAATTCATCCCAAATTCAAACTGGCTGTTTGTTTGAGATTTTTTTTAAAAAATGTAGCGTAAATATCTACCAGTTTTCTTTAAAAGTTCAGGCAAACTTTTCTTAAACACAGCCCTCGAATCATTTGTTGAAATTAATTAACTAACTTTTAACAGTGACATCCACCCCACTCTTAGATGACCGCTTCACTGCAAGATGGATTGTGAGTATTCATTTCCTACACAAGAAAGAAGTATAAATTAGGCAAGAAAGAAGTAGTCTCAGTAGAAATTCTTTCTGACCTCTGTTAACTGCCTATTCCCCGATTACCTCGCATTTTTCTATGGGAAGTTGCTACAGACAAGATCTATGTTGTAAAGGTGAATTGCCTGCAAAACAGATGAGACAGAACTTGAGCTGCAGTTAATAAATAACATGATACCACAAATATTTTTCAAAGCACTGCCTGAAACAGAATGTCGCTAAAATAGAGATTGTCCGAGATTTCATGCCTGAATGAATACCTGCGAATTGCGGCGGTCATAAAAATTAATGAAAAATTTTTAGTAAATGTTTAAGCGAAAACCACATTATATTTCATCACATTTATCCTCAACACAGCCCTTATATGATTTATTGTAATTAGAATGAGATTTGTACAGAATTAGAATTAGAACTTGTAATTTAAATGAGAGATGGAGTAAACACTTTTACAGCTTCCTCTTTCATTTATATTTAAATTGAGGATATAAGCAGTTAAGACTTACTTGTTTGACATTTATTTCCAGTCCATCCTGGTAAACAAGTACAGGTGAAGGTACTGTTAATCTCAGAACATGTGCCTTGGTTGAGACAGGGAGATGCAGCACACGGGTTATCAACTGGAAAAAAAGTATATGTACGATTTTATTAAATGTCGTAATATTTACGATACACTGTCGTAATATTATGCTGCCCAACGATACAGCAGCCAACAGCACTAACAACTGTATCGATCTGAGTGGTGTGTGTGACGACACAAAATGGCAAGCAAATATTACGACATTTACAAAATGTAAGATGGCTTGAATAAACTAAGAAACAAATGTAATATAAAAGTTAATATTCATAAAATGAGTTAGATGTTAAACTAAAGCAATTCTAAGCGAATGAAAAGTAAAGCCGTATCTTCATCACTTAGCTAGAACAAGAGGAAATGTACAATGATGAACTCACCAATATCACAGTTTGTTCCTGAAAATCCTTCTGCACATCTGCATGTGTAATTGTCCGGCGCAGCATTTACACATGTTCCACCATTCTGGCAGGGTTCGTGGGTTCCGCAGAAATTCAAGTCTGAAAGGAAAAACAGCAAAAGAATAATTTCATAGCAATTATATAATTATCATGCATACACTGAAATAAAAATGCGCTGCATAGTTATTCAGAGTTGCTATAAGATGAAGCTAAATGTTCAAAAGTACAATAATCAAAGCGAGATAAGATCAGAAATTTACCTCCATCGCAAAGTATGCCTCCCCAGTTGATGTCGCAGATGCATTGCCATGGAGAACCATTACAATAGCCATGCTTACATCCTGGATATGGCATACACTGATCACATAATTCTGACTTCCAACCGGGACGACATCTAAAGAATTACAAGAAATAAATGTCACAGACTGCGTTTACACAAGCCATAATGTTGCGACCCAAAAGAAAATCCTAATAATATTTAAATTTTTCAAAATTGAATTTAAATTAAATATAAATTTCTAAACAAGAAATTTTAAACTTTTAATAATTGCATTGATTTTTTTAAATAGTATTTTAGTGATAACAAATTTCAGTGATAATTTATTTCATCGATTAATTAAATTTAAATGGAATAATTTAACGCACAACAATTTTTTTTCTTTGGTTTCTAAACAGCTTTGCGAACAACGTGTGTGTGTGTGTGATTATGGCAAAGCCTCGAGGGCTATCTGCCTAAGGGGAGGGATGCCTTTCGTGGAGGACTTTCTAAGGGAAACTGGCTCGTATACACGTTACACATGGGGAAAACCACGAAAACGCCCATGCAGCCAGCCCGTTCGCGGGATTCGAACCTCGGACCGAACTACCAGTGTTCAGCGACTTTACCGCTCGGCCGCTGGTGGGCCCCTTTGCGAACAACGAAAGGGGAAGAAGGCGAAAAGAGCTGTGAGCTAAACCTCGACTTAACTTCTCCAATAAATGAAGAAAAATGATGATGTTTATTGGTGAATCACAGCATTCTCAAATGGTGATTTCTTCGATTCTAGTTGGGAACTTATGAATAAGACGTACTGAATGAAACTGGAGTCACAATGGAAGAAATATCTCACTTTCTTTTGTCTGTTATTAAACTGTTTCTCTTAAGAAAATAGTGTGCCTCACTTTTCCATCTTCTCGCGTATCTTCTTGAAGATATGATTAGTCTCCGGGTGTTTACTAGATGAGCATTAGTAGTGTTCACACTTCTGCTTGAACATCTCATTTATCACAGTCACAAGGTGCAAAAGTCATTAGCTTCTTTCACAGCTGTCGAATAGGGTCTAAGCCACTATGAAATGAGAGAAGATAAATTCATGCTTGCCTAAATGTGTCTCCAGGTTTTCAGCTTATTTTGCTGTATTAGCTGATTCCTGTACCATCTTAAAGTTAGAATATTTAGACAAAAATTTTACACCAGTTTTCGTGATGTAGCAAGATCTCAGTACAACAACGTAGCTCAGCTTATGCCACTTGGACCGTCATATCATAGTGTGAATGTTCCCAAATTTACATTCTGTAACATCTTCAGCTATTTTCTATCGACCACCCCGAAATTCTCGGAAAAATTATTTTTTAACGACCACTTAGCAATATTCGGGAAAGCTGAATGCGACCTGTAATCATGTACCGTTCTTAAATCTTTGTTTCCTTTCATTGTGGTCCGAATGAGAGCATTGTTCTATTCCTGAGAAAAACTGGAACGTGAGAGTCCTTCGGTCAAAATTCCTAAGCATCTGTTTATGGGTGTGTTTTTATGTATCGACTGTCTGTCACCGAACACCTAGATGCCGTTGAATCCGCGATCCCGTTCTAATTCGGCCTGTCAACATTATACCTACAAGCAATCCACGGTACTCTCGCCATTCAAAAAAACCTCTGGAAATTTCTGGCAGATGAGAAATCAAAAAGAGCTCCTGACACGACCAGGAAATCTTGATTAAAAACAGCGATAGTACCTCCAGAGGTGGAGCTAGTTTAGTGAAAAAGAGAGAAAACTTGTCTCGTGTTTTCAGCTCTGCCAAAAGCTTTCTTATATTTCTGCGGTGAGGTTTAGTAACTGGTAGTCGGATTTCCGCTAGCTAATTTGAGAGCATTTTACTTGGCTAGCTGCGGCCAGGAGAGACAACAAGGTTGTTTATCTTTCTCAAGAACTTCACCTTGCACAAAGAAACCCTCTGAGAAACGTCCGACTAACAAACAGGAACTTTCGCAGATTGTACATCACTTTTTTTTTACCCCGCCATCCTTTGATTTTTTTTCCTTCTTCGACGAGAACCAACGAACAAAATATCCTGTACAGTATTTGCATATAGCCTAGAATTTTAAATAAATTAAGTATATTCTACCTTCTTGTTTGTAGCAACTCGCTCCACTTCCCTGGTTGTCTACGGTTTAGACATGCATGAAAGAAGCTAATAACTTTAATATCTTGTGATTATGACAATTGACCGTCCGGTGGCGAAGTGGCGCGCAGCTGCACTACAGGTCTGTGGTTCGATCCTTGGGCTGGGCAAGGTTGACTCATCCTTTAATGGGTCGATAACAAGTTCGCTCTTGGACTAAATACCGGGGGTCCTGCGACAAGCCGATCACTTGCCCAGGGCATATGCTGATGCACTCCGGGACCAAGATCAAGAAAGCGGATTTCGGGGCACTGCAGGCCATGGCCCACTAGGGTTGTTGCGCCACTGAGTTTAGTAGTGTTATTTTTAGATTATGACACTTGAAACGTTTAAACCAGCGCGGTAATGCTTCCTTGTTGGCAACATGTGTAATCTCAACAGATATATCTTAGCACACTGAAAAATAATTACTAAAGTTCTTTTAACATAAAAATAAAAATAGGCAGAAATTTAAATAAAGAAAACATTGTACTATCTATTTCTCTTCTGGATCTCAAACACCAAAAAATTTCAGCGAAAGTTCCAAGAAATCTGTTTAATGTTTAACAATGGTAATCAAATGTTTAATCAAATGATACTTTTCACTTCTATGTATCGTAATTCATAATGCTGTACAAAGATGTAAAATATCAGAAAAATGACAAAATTATTTTGTAGGTTTATTTCAAATACCATCAAATTTTAAGCAATTGAAAAACGTATTTTATAACTGTATTAAAAAACTTAATTCTGAAGTAAAATCATCAATAAAGAATTCGAAGTTACGACAACATTAAAATCATAACGCGTAAAAATACTGAACCCATTTTCAGTTTGAATTGTTAATAGAAATAAAAAGGAAGCATAATAAAATACACTAAAAACCTTTAATATCCACAAAATTGTCACGTGAAATGGAAATTCAAATTCCCATTTCATAATCCATTGTTACAGTAAATAATGCAAAAACATAAAACATTGTTTTACGATAACAGTTTAAGGAAATTGTTGTTACAATAAAGAATTCCTAAATGCGATTTTAAGGTCAATGGAATGCAAATAACACTTTGTTGAACTCGCAGATTTAGTTATGATTGATATTACAATCATCTTCATATTTCTCTCAAAAACGTGCGCAATTTTAAACGCAATATCATCACGAATCCATGCCCGGCGTATGAAAATTCCAAATCCATGGCCGGAATATGAAAATCAGTTTAACGGCACGAAAGATAATGTTTTCTTAATGCTGAACCAAGATATTTATCCACACAATGACAAAAACACCTTTAAGAAAGATTTGAAAGGAAATAAGATTAGTCTTACAGCCTTTCCTGACAAAGAATCCATGTATCTGCCAACAGATTATCGATTAGAATCAAACGTGAAGATTCCGAGCTTGATAAACATTAACTTTGAGCATATTCCTCATACAGTAAGCAATTTGCAATTCAGGAAAAAAATGATGGCCGAAAAAGAACGAGATTTTATACTTGAAAACAGACATTGGGGCGCGAAAAGAAGGCCACAAGAATGGCAAGCATCACGCAGATTTCACTCTGTGAAGAACCCGATGACATTTCACGGCGGAAATAGGATTTTAAGAAATAAACCAGGAAGTTCTATGCTTCAATTTAAAAACGAAAAGGGTAAGGTATTGCGCAATTCGGACAAAATACTTTCCAATAATATAATAATGCCTTCCTCCCAGGAGGAAAGACGCTTGCAAAATGCATCTTCATATAACAATACCAAAAGAGAAATCTTGAATAAAATTCGAAAACAATCAAAGGAATTTCATGCAAGTGATAACATGACACTGGTTCTTCTGTTTCTCATATTTATTCCAATAGTTAGTTTATCTGCTGTTGTACTAGCAATTGTAAATTACTGCTTTATACCCAAAAGAACAGAAGAAATGGAACCAGTTCAATACCAAGATAGTCAAATTTCAGAAACGTTTGGAGAACTCTCTGCCAGAACTACTCTTCTGGAAGTACAAGACACTGAGCCACAAAACCCTACCCTCACAGAAAGTAAATCTCTGATTGATATATGGAAGAACTTCGTGTCCAATGATTTTAATGCCGAAGGAGACACCGTAGCAAGAAGGATGAAACTAGAACGCTGGATGTATCAGAACGGTTCCTTATTTGCAGAAAATACAAATGACAAACAAAAAAACAGAACTTCGTCTGACAGCAGCAGCTTTCCTTCTCCAAATATTCATGCACCTGGATGCAAGCATAAAAGACCACAAACGCAAAGTATAATAAATGATGAACTGGGAAGTCAAGATAGCAGATCGCTTTCATCATCTTTGGAGAGAAAAAAAGGTGAATCTGCGCCCTCCCCAGAAAGTTACCAGGCTCGATCAGATCGTTCACACAAGTCAAATTTAAGCTGTAGGGTGAAGAAGAAAAAACAAGGAAGTGGGTCAAAGCATTCTTCTAGGAATGTCTGTAAAACTGGAAAAATTCCTTTAAAATCAAACCCAATAGAAGAAATTGATCAGGAAAACAAGGATTTGAGCAAGTCTTACTCTCAGCCTTTCAATCCCACCTTCGGCAGACAAAATTATCACACCCAACAGAACACACCTTCAGCAAGTCCACACCGCACTTTTGCTCTCACATCTCAGCCTAGGACTGTTGTTAATAATAGAAGCATATATGATTTATAAAATTAGAATTTTTTTTTCCGTTTCCTACTGCAAGAAGTATTTAATACAATAAAAGAATTTCCGCTGCTCAAAAGGTACAATATTTAATTCCATAATTTTGCATTAAATTCTATGAATATTTTCCTACGTAGCATCAAGAAAGGAGTTTAAATTTTTATTGCCTGAATTGGAGTTTAAATTGAAAAAGTTAAAATGATTTAAAACAGCTGCATTTTAGAATAGCATTTTAGCTATCCAGTTTCTGATTATAATTATAATGCAACCAAATAATAAATTTCTTGAAAAAAAAAA